GCAGTGGTGATATTCAGCGGGTTCGCACAGGTTCGGCCGAACCCGTTGTTAACATTTTCAAAGTTTTCCGAACCTTGTTAAACACACGTAACATTTCTCAGTGGTTTTGTTTCTTTCAAAAAAAATATATTAAAATATACATATTATACTTTGTAACACTACTAAACTAAAGCCTTATACACCATTTGCCTGGTGCGACCTTCCTCGACCGTTCCAGTCGAGATTGAAACGAGGTTCAATCTCGATCGACTCAAGAGAGTTCTTAAAACTAGATCCAGTCATAAGAGAGACCCCACAATCCCACACGTGCGAGAAAATACAAGATGGCTGTGGAACACATGTCAGGCTATTGACAGTGAAATAAAAAAGATATTGTATTTCGAGAGACGATGACATCTGTCTATTATTAGATATATCTCAAGAAAAAGTATTGTATTTATTTCTAACCAAAACTTCCATTTTGTTTGTCAGTGTTCGTGACTTACCGCGTAGTTATGTCAGTTTTATCATCGTGTGTAATATATATCTTTTTTATTTATATGGGTATCTTAAGGTCAGTTTTTGTGCTAATGTTGCTAATGCACCATTTGAGTGAAAAAAAATTGTTAAGGAAAAATTTTCTGTTAGCGAACCCTTTGTTAAATATTTCGAATATCACCACTGGACACATCCAAATAACTTATTTAATTAGGCCTTGGTTTATAGCACATGGTAAAAAACTATTTAACTGTGTAGTGCAGTATTTGAAGAAAAAAATTTTTTCCCAAACAGGAAAAAATTCTTGCAGGTGAAAATAATTTTTTGAATAAATTTTAAATGTAGACTGAAGGATTTTGTATTTATATGAACAAGAATTTCTTTATTTTAAGGTTGAAACATTTTAAAAAGAGGAGAGTGAATCATTTGAAATATTTTAAATGATTGATTATTCAAACAAACTCATCAGTAATTATAAAAAATAATATAATTAATAATAATTTTATATTTATAGTTTATATAAAACTTTTATTTTTAATTTACAAAATATAAGATATTTTTTTATAATTGTTAAATTTTTTATAGTTTTTATTCTTCAACAAAACAAATAAGTTATTCAAATTTTGTTCCTCGAATCAAATTGCCAATGCCATTTGTGAGTATTTATTTCAGAATGTTTTTAAATAGACATTAATATTTTTACTTTTATTTCCACATTTGTATTTTTTAGACAAAATCATCAGAAAAAGAAAAAGGAAAAAGTAAGTTGTTCTTAATTTTTTATTAAAATTAAAACAAAAATTTAATTCTAAGTAATTTTAACCTTTGATTTGAAATTTTAATTGAATTAAAACAAAAGCATAGCATTTATGATTAGAAATTAAGTTTTAGTTTTAATATATAATTTGATTATTAAAAAGTTTAAGTTAATTATATACTAATATATATAAAAAAGTGTGTGTTTATGACAAACTACTTAGTACTCATCAATTTTTTAGATTAGTTCTGGTGGAAGTTAACAGGGTGGACAAAACTTAAATCCAGTTGCATACATAATATAAGCCTATTATCACATTTTTTGATAATTATTCATGTAAGTTGCTCTGACAAAGCATGAAACATATCATTACCAAATAAGTGAAAATAAATTATGCACTTTTTCAATAGAACATTAATTAATAATCTTCAGAAAAACAAAACAAGAAATTTGCAGTCTATAAAGTTGGCCTCTCATGGTACTTTTTCTAAATATGGTTACTACACATTTCTTAAATTTGTGTACACTTTGACTCCCTTTCATTGCTGTGGTTGGGAGTCCAATACTCTAGACTGCAATATAACTAATTAAATTGGGTAACACATTCAATTTTTTGACCATAACAAGTGTAAAATATTTGAAGTCAAAATAAAAAAGTTATGATTTCAAGGTTTTATTTTTATTTACTTACACAATCTCCTACTTCTGTAGCATTGTTTTATAAGCAAACAGTGATGGTAATTCCCATCAATAAAAACATGACTATTCAAAAAAAATGTAAAAATGAATGAAATGAAGATAATTAGAAAAGAATAACTAATACTGTAACACCCAATGTGAATATAAAATCAATATTCATTAAATAACAGTTAACATCAACAGTTAAAATGAAGAAATGGAATCCATGACATGATTGCATTGATTTCATTTATTCCATTTGATAAATGAGCATGTTGTAATGGAATTGAAATGTAACTTAAAAATGCATAAATTAAGAAGTCACACCTGTATTATTATCTGTTAAGTAGTATTGATAGTCATGTTTATAGCTGATAGCACATATCTAAAACAGAAATTACTAAGTTTATTATAGATTTAGATATTTTTTATATCATAAAATAATAATGATATAAGAATTAAGATAGTATAGTATCTTAATTCTTATATCATTATTTATTTTATTTAACTATACTTCTGAATAAATTTATTTAGTTTTATAAATTACTTCTACTCATAAAGAGATTAAAATTTAAAATTTTAGTTAAATATGTTATTAATTTTCTCCTTACTTTTTTTGATTATTAAAATTCTTAATGTTTGTGTTATAACTATAAATTGAATTTTTACTGATGAATTAGATTTTTTTTTATTAGTTTATTATAAAGTATTGATATAATTGCAAATTGTTTAAATGTAATTTATATTTATCTACTTATTTATAGTTGTGTATACAAAACGTCCACATTACATTAACCAACCTGATTCATTTCCTTCACTTTTTAATTTTGATGAATATGATGAATATATATTCAAATTACCTTCTCATTCACAAAATTCTCGGTAAGCAAAGTCAATAATTATTTAATTAAATTTTATTCTAAATTTATTTATTTAGTTATAAATAATAATAATAATATGTACTTTAAATATTTATCATTACTATATACAGTCTTGGAAAACATTTGAGATTACCTGGGTTTTCAAACCTTCCATTAAAATTAACTGATTGCCTGTAAATATGTTGTTGTTTAGATATTAAAATAACCATAAACCAAACAAATATCAAGTAAAAACTTACTATTACTTAAACAACTTACAATTTTCCTAGAAAAAGTTTGAGACCAGAATCAAAAAAGCACAATGAAAACAAAACATAGTAGGGAAAAACAATGTTTAATATTTATTTGGGTTAATAGTAAACAAATTAACATCAATCAATTGATTGGTCATGGATGTAGTAAGAGTTGTTGGCCTTTCAGGACCAATTTCATCCCTAGCAGTCACAATTGTTTTTTTAAGATCACAAGCAGTGTATACGTAATAGAAATTTGGCTTTGAGTGTGAATAGCATATTTGATATGACTATGCATGTCTGTAATCATATGAGTTAGCATTTATATTTTTATATTCAAATTTTTAAAATATTTTCTAATTATTATTTGTTAAAAATATGAATGTTTTATAAAGTTGTTTGCAAATAACTTTTAACAATATAACTTTCGTTACTATTTTTGCTTCAGCAAGTCATTGTATATAATTGAACCTGTCTTTCTAAAACATATTTATATCAAAAATCTCTTCTTTATTGCAAATTTTTTTCCTGCATTTTCATCCTAAATTCAATTTTACATGCTCATCTCAATTTTCTTCCAAAACCTCTCTATCTCAAATTACGGAATGAAGTGTCAATTATAAATTCAAAGTTCAGGGACTACATTTTGATAGCATAAATTGTAGATGAGAAACATGTCTTCCAATATAATGCATATTTGCAATTAATGGTTTTTTTTTTTTTTTTTCTCTGATTGGATACAGTTTGGATAAGTTTGGCTTGCATCTTATTTGTTGAAGAAAATCAGGCATCAGAAACTATTGACAAACTATTTCTGTTAAGTTTTGTCAAAAATGTTTTATTTGTACCTAATACAGGTATGTACTGTACATGCTAATGTATTAATAAAATACCATACCTCCAATCAAACCTATTACTGTTTACTGTGTAAGAACCTGTATATCTCGAAACATGTTTATCTCAAATTGTTTTCTCATTACCTTGAAATTTGAGATAGATAGGTACAACTGTATTTTATACAGTGTAAGAAATAACTATCCAATAGAATGAAATGTGTTAAATGTAAATAGTAATCTTAAGAAATTTAATTGTAAATATTATTTTTTTAGATTATAAATTTATAAATAGTTATGAATTTAACAATACCATATTTACTTGAATATAAGATGCCATCAAATCTAAGATGAACCTTAATTTCTACATGTTCACCACCCATGGTTTTTCTTTCTTTTTTTTTTTTTTGAAAAATAGACAACTTGAAAAAAAACTTTACATCAACAGAATCATTCTGTTGACTTAATTTTGTTTAGTATTTATTGCACAGTAAAGCAAGGTTACTGTGTAATAAATATACTGTCTTCACAATAAATTTGTCTCAAATTATTTATTTAAAACAAAATATCCATGGGTAAGTATGTAGAAATTAAGGTGCATCTTAGGTTCAAGTAAATACAGTATTCATTTTTGTTATTATTTTTTTTTTACTAGAAAAATATGAAACCATTAAGATATCAAATATGTTTTTTACAAAATGTATCTTTTTAATTTTTAATGTGTTTTAAATGATCATATGATTTTAATTTAATAATTTATAAATTTTTAATTTCATTTCATTTCAAATTTTCTATTGAAATATTTATTATAAAGAAAAATGTTAAAAAAAATTAAAAAAACTGAAAATACAAAATAATAGAAAGTACTGAATTTTAAAAATATTTAAAATATGAATAATTTTATGTAAGTGCATAGTTTTGATTTTAAAGTTCTTGTTTAGCACAACACACAGTTTACAACGTCATTCATCAAGACGAAAGGCAACACTTCCATCTAACAATCACCCTCGTACCATTCTTCCAAGAAGGATGTCAGAAGATAAAACTTCAACGACTTGTTTTGTGGCTTCAGAAACAATTCCAGAGCCAAAATCTGTTTATGTGCCATCTCCAGCTATTACAATTCCACTTCCAAATTCACAAAGCAATATTTGTTATTTATCATCATCTTTGGGAACACCTTACGTTCCTGGTAAAAACATTTTTATATATAATTTTATAATCTATTTTATGTTATAGTGAGATAAAATTGTTCAAGCCCAGAAAATTAGTAGACATTATTAAAAAATATGCATTAAATACAAAATTATTATTACATATAAACTAATTTATACATATTATAACTCATTTCTGTTAATGTCTTACAAAATAAATAAATTATGATTTTCCTTCATTTTTTTTTTTTCATTCTGATCTATAATTTTTTTTAGTAAAATATATATAAAATCAATACTAATTAATTTTTAAGAATTATATTATCATCTAAAAAAGACTACTTTAATTGAGAACTTGCATTAAAATTATTATACAAAATAAAGATTTAAGATTTCAGTTGAAGTCTATTTTTTGGATAAAATAGATTATATTGAGTTTTTGAGCTGTTTCTCTTTCGTACTTTTTAACTGTCAATGAAAATATAATGATATTTTTTAATATTGATTTTTTTATATTGATTTTTATATTTTTTTTATATGAATCCAAATATGATTAGATTATATTTTTTAATATTTATATAATATTTGCACAACTTGAAAAATTGATTAAAAACTTTCAAAACCAAGATATTGTGAAATTTTAATAAAATATTCAATTTTCTTATTGACACTTTAGGTTTTCTTTTTATTTATTCTGGTTTTTAGTCTTTCAAAGTTTTCTAAGCTAAAAACATTGATGTATTTGCAGGTCAAATTTTATATAAAAGATTACTTTTGAATATGGTACACAAGAACAGAGTATTTTATCTTTATTACGTTTCAGAATTCAAAAATATTGATATAATATTTAACTTTTTAAATATAATTACACTTTGTCAGTGAAAGGAATAGCATTAATAAAAATTCTATGTGTAAAACTATAGTACATTATCAATATACTATAGTTATAAAGAAGACAAAAATTTGTTTAATATAAAATATAAAAATATATTTTATTAAATATACTATAATAGGTAGAACTCTATCTCTTATAAGCATTCTACTGTTAATTTCTGTAACTATTATCATCATATTATTAAAATTTATATTTTCAAGCATTATTATCATCAAACAATTGTTCTTATTTCTAATTGGTTTTACCATTTGGTTTTTTCTCTATCTCTTTTGACTGTAAATATACCCTATTATCATTTTTTTAAATTTCATTCAAATAAAAATTCATTATTTATTTGGATATGACTTATAATGATTACATTTTAATGATTGTTGACATATATTGTCATTCTATTTAAATCTCTCAATGGATAGGTTTAATGATGTCAATTTATATGAATCAAAATTAATGTGTAAATGCTGGTATTAGTAATATACATGTTTTCTCAAAAATATTCCAAAAAAAGTAAATAATAGTAATTTATTAAATTTTTCAGATATGTAAGTTATAATTGCTCCTCCTCTTATTTATTAACTGAAATTGAAGAAATTTTCTTAAATGTATCCTATTATTGTATATTATAATTAGTTTATTGTATTAGACAGAGTTAGATAACCTAATAAATAGGGTATAACAATTTGCAGGGCTTATCACACCAAGGCCGACTGAAAGAAGGACCAGAACTTTTATAAAAAATGGTTGGTCTTTATATAATTATTAATAATCACATTTCAAATTTAGGTAAGTATGCATTTCGGGTACAGGGACCCCTCATCAGCTTATAAACACTTGGTAACATTGTAACAAATACAATACCTATAACCTGCCAATACAACAGGATAACCAACATATGCAGTGCACTGCATTTACAATTTCTCAATGTAACCCATACACTAAAACTAAATATCAAGTATAAATTAGAATACAATGACAATGTGGTATAACATATTATCTGGAACTAGTAAATGTCTTAGTTTCTCCTACATTTTCCAAATTCTGGTAGACGGTTACACTATTAATAATGAATATTGTTAAGTATATTAAAAAAACACAAAAAGGGGAAAGGAAGCTAACAATAAACTTACTCTTATTAAAACCAATTGGTCTCCATATTTTAATAAAAACAAAATACATCTAATCTATAAGCCTTTGTGAAGTCAACTGCACTGTCACACTGCATTTTACAAAGTGATGTGACTATACTCCCTACATCTGTTCAGCATCTGTTTCAAGGTTAAGTGAAAACGATGTCAATCCACCCCTCATGTAGCTTCAGTCCCACGTTGTTATTAATTCTGATGTCTTCCTGTATTTTCAGAATTTCTAGGTGTTCCTGTAGTCTTCTTTTTAGTTGATTGTTTTCTGTCATAATACACTTGATGCTATCTTTTAAAATTTCACAACCTTCAGTGTTGCAATGTTGTGCCACTGATGATGATATCAAATTATTTTTGATGGCATATATATGTTCTTTAATTCTTGTCTTTAATTTTCTACCAGTTTCCCCTACATATCTTTTTTTATGTGAACAACTGCAATCTAATGAGTAAACTACATTATCTTTTTCTAAAACATTATGTTCAATGTTACCATGTTTACTGTTTAGCAAATTTGCTATGGTGCTTTTGTGGTTTGGTACTAAAATAATATCTAATCTTTTTAATTCATTTTTTAATTTTTCAAAAACACCAAAAACATATTCTATTTTTAGGTACAC